ACAAGGGAAACTAGGGAAGTGTGACTCGCCAATTTTGAAATAAACTAGTGGGATGTATGCCTTATGAGGAATAATTTTAGGGGGCAACATTCGTTTCGGCCCATAGAAGGTCCTATGAGAGATAAAAAATAATTCAATATATAGAAAAATCGGTATTTTATTACTTGTTGTTGTTGTAGTTCATTTACGTCGCACTAGAGCTGCTCAATGGGCTATTGGCGACGGTCTGGGAAACATCCCTGAGAATGATCCGAAGACATGCCATCACAATTTTGATCCTCTGCAGAGGGGATGGCACCCCCGCTTCGGTAGCCCTACGACGTGCACGCGAAGTCGAGCATTTTATTACTTCAATGCAGACTATTAGTTATTGAAATTGTCCCATACTCCAATTAATTTGTAACTAATTGGTTAATTAAATACTTTTCTAATTAATAAATTAATTGGCAAGCAAATTAATTAATTAATCATTAAGCAATTATTAATTAATTAAAATTTAATTATGTATTAATTATTAATTAATTAATTAATTTATTTGCAAATACGTACTCCAATTAATTTAGAAAAAAAAAATTTTTTTTTAAATTTTAAAAAGTTTGATGTCAATTTTTTTTTAAAAATTAACCTAACTGGTTTTTTGGAAAAACTACAGATACAAAAATTAATTTTGACAATAAATATGCATTATATAGTACGTGAAAGTACCACAAAATTATTTGGAGTATGAGATAATTACAATGACTAATAGTCTGAATTGAAGTAATAAAATACCGATTTTTCTATATATTGAATTATTTTTTATCTTTCACAGGACCTTCTATGGGCCGAAACGAATGTTGCCCCTAAAATTATTTCTCATAAGGCATGCATCCCAATTTTTTTTTTTAAAATTGGCGAGTCACACTTCCCTAGTTTCCCTTGAAAGAAGCAAAATTTTTGAATAGCATCCGCTTATCACATGCATAAATCACATAATCATCACCGTTTCTCCTGATCTTCATCTACTGTTCAAAAACACGATCTGTTATTGATATAGAAACATTATTCAAGTAACTTGTTTTTATAACAATATGAACCAAAAAACTGTGAACCCCAAAAAAACTTAACATTATTTATTACTTTATTTGCAGTATTGTTTGGCGATTTTTGTTCCACCTCTTTTCTTCTAATCTTGCATTTTTTTTAAGAAAAATTACCAAGTTAATTTTAACACTTTATTTTTTAATTTTATTTTTTAACCGTCGTTGGACAGTCGACCCAATTTTTTGGGTTTACTATTACTAATGTTCAACTATGCAGCCTTGTAATTTTGAAGCCAATCCAGAAGACAAGGGAACTCCTGGATCAAGTACTGGGAGAAATGTGCCCTTGTGGAGGACTTTTTGAGGAAACTAATCCACATTTGCGTTACATGGAGAGGAAAACCATGAAAACCTCCCACGGTTAGTCTGACTGTAAGGGGATTCTAAACAATGTTCCGTCTACCACTGAGAATATTTTACGTCAGCACTGTGGTGCAACCATCTCTAGGATTCAAACCCAGTTTACCTCTTCAGAGTCGAACGCTCTATCCCGTGAGCCTCCATGGTCCATTTCACTTCATTGACTTAATTTTCTTTTCAAGCATTTAAATGCTTTCTTTAGATTCTATTCGTTCTACGATATAAATAATTAATAATCACCGAGGTGATCAATCAATAAATTCAGTTCAGTTCTATAGAGCGCTTAAGCTCTAGCATCATATTATAAAAATATTCCTGTCTGCAAATGTGATTTGGTTGCCATTTTTCTACATACTCAGAGAGAACAAAAGTTTGCAGGTAATATAACATACATACGATAATCATTACATACGATAAGTTAAATCGCTAAATATTCTTTCTGAAGGGATTCACCAACCATGCTGCAAGTAAAAAGACATAAAATAGGTTAACTACCTGTTCGATTGCTGGAACTTTTATAAATTTACCATTCCATAACCTCCATCTCTGTTTAGTCAAAAGACATGATAGATTTAACATATTTCACAAATTCAATATAACAAATCATTCACAAATAACTCTTCAAATAAATTTATTACAGCTGATATATATTAAAATTTAAAAAAAGAGTGGTAGAGAAGATTTCGTAAGAAATTAGAGCAAACTTGTCACTAAAGTTACAACTGCAATTTAAAAAAAATAAAACTGCGACGAACGATTGTAGTACGGATTACATATATACTGAATCATTTATGTTTGTATTAATCACGAATGGATCATTTCTTTGAAAAACAGATCGGAAAACGTATTTTAACGTATCCCGCTTGCAATGCTTGTAACATTTTCACGAATCTCTACATAAAAGTAGAAAAAAAGAAAATCGCAAGACTGGTAGAATACGAAAACATCACCCAGGATCCTATAATTGAGGTATTTTTCGCCAGCATAATAGTTGTTGAGACTCGGAAGCAGTGTACGAGTTGATCAGTTATTCGAAACTCAGTTTAAATAGACATTCCAGTTGGTTAATAAATTGAAATAAAATCATTTTTACGGTCAGAGTTGAAAATGTTAAATATTTTTTTTTCTTTACAGGTGATTTGAATGCTGTGGCGCCAATTATTTCGAATTTCTTTATGGCTGCAAATGGTCTCATCAACTTTTCATGTTTTCACGCATCCTACGTCAAATCACCAGGTATGAATGATAAATTATTCGTTTAGAAAAACATTTTCGTGTTATTTAAAGTCTTTGTCTATATAATTTCCATAATGCCAAAATCCTTCCCATCCCAGTCACTTTATCATCAGCCCATCTTGATCCTCTGAAATCTTACTTCATTCATATGAAAACCGATTTTCTTGTTGACGACATGAGTGCCTCTCCACCTTTCCATAGCGTAGGTGTTTTGCTCTGATTTTTCCGTCTGGGAGACTGCGAATTTTCTAGTTTGTTTTTTCAATCTCATTTATTTTTCATTTTTTGTTTCATCCTCGACTACCTCTATTGTCTTATTATTCACCCTTATTTTTCCTTTTCAGTCGGCAACTTTACGTTTTCTGTTTCAAATTAAATTTGTTTTTCTGATTCTCATCGAAGTCCTGAGAATAGGACCCTATTTTTTAGCCCTCGAAGCATATCGAATTTTATTACAATCTTCATATTTTTTGAAGCAAACGCAGTTTTTATATCAAGTATCCATAAATTCTGTTTGAAATTATACAATAAATGCTGTACGGTACTAAATTCTAAAAACAATTCTTCGCTCTGGTTTGAACTTCCAGTAGAATAAGTAAGAGTTATTCGATTCAAATTAATATTTAGTATCAAATAAATATTTTTAAAAATTCTATCTTCAACAGTGTTTATGAGTGTGAATCTTTTTTTAGTTGCAAATTTGTGTATAATATACAAAAATATTTTTATAACTCTGCTATATTTCAGGTTTTCGTCCTGGATTCCGGTACTACAACAAATGGTTGAGTCTTATGGGAGCACTATTATGTGTCGTCATCATGTTCGTCATGAACTGGATCACAGCACTTGTCACTGACGTTGTTGTGGTCGCTCTTTACATGTACATCAGCAAGACATGCCCTGGTAAGAAGCTTTTCATAGTATCGTAGACTAAATATAAATACATTAATACCTATCAATAGTCGTATTTAAAATATTATGATGTGCGTTCAAAAGCAACTTTGAAAAGCTTTTTAGATGGATCACCTGAAGGTGGCCAAGAGACCCCATTGAAATTCGTTTTTTTAGAATAATCCTTCTTGGAGATAAAACTTCCACCCACCGTATTCAAGTGTTATTTGTTTTTTTTCGCCGGACTTTGTTGCACAATTCGATCAGCTCACCTATATTACGTAATATTATTAATGCTTAGTACAATGTATCTGTTTCCACCGCTTCTGAGTCCTCTAATTACATTAGCTCAACTCAACTGCTCAGGTTCTTAAGTATTGACATTAATCTAAGTGTACTGTCATTATTGCAAACGTGTATGAAAGATACTACTTTTAAAATTATTTTAACTATAAGTTAAGATTTTCAAATTTAAATTATTTCTAATTCCATAATAAACGTGTTGATGTTATCACTAGATTTTTGATTTCAGCCAAAAACGAAAACAGTAAATATTAAAATAAAATGTGGCTTGTTATTATCATTTAATGCCTTCAATCGATGGAATTTTTTTATACTTGCAGACATCAACTGGGGATCGTCTTTTCAAGGTTTCATATACAGAAATGCCCTCTACTATCTCAACAAACTTCAAAAAATTGAAGATCACGTGAAAAATTTCAGGTAAGCTGTAAATGGAATCAGTCGAGCGTACTTTCGAACATAAGTGTTCTAGATTTTGAGATATTGCTTTTACAGGAGAACACAGAAATTTGGTCATATTTTTATTGCTTTGTTAAAGCGTTGAAATAGAATTTTTTTTATAAAAAGGAATTAAAGCTAAAGTGCAAAATCGGATCTGCTCAACACTTCCTAGAAAGAACAGGCCTCGGCACGGGTTACCATAAATATCCCTTAGTAGTCCAAACGTAATGACATATTTTGTATTTTCAACCACTGCGCAGCTTAGGACCTCTAACGTAATGACATCTTTCTTAGTTTTCGTCTACTGCGCAGTTAACTTCGTCACATCGGATTACTAAATTGATCCGTGCTGAGGCCTTTCTACTTCTAGGAGGAGTAGGTCTGTTCCGGCAGAGGTTTTGGAGACAGTTCCAAATCTCTTAGATTTTTGAGAAATTTACCGTTTAATTGTTAACAATTGTTAATCGGTTGATTTTTAGATATACTCAATTCATTATTTTGATAACTTATTCTTTATTTGATGATAATTATTTTATAAATATTTTTAAACATTACTGAGGGAAAATTTAACTAAAAAAATTTTAAAATCAATTTTTGGCATTTTAATTCTTAATTTTTTTTGCACTGAACTTCCGTTTACTGCCTTTGGAAGATTCCGGAATTGTTGCTTCTTAAAGTTACACTACTACAGAGGAAGCCTCAAAGTGGCGGGGGGGGGGTGTAGCTGGGCGGAATGGGCGAAGTGCGTCGTGATAGTTTCTCCTGGTATGGCCACACAAGGCGTGAAGGCCGTTCCACTATGCTCAGTTAAGATCTGCAGGCACTGGAGCAAAGTCAGACTTCTCTCCACTGGAATTCGAAGCACCTTGTACCAACAGAAGCTGCTCTTTCCCTTCTCTATGAGACTATGTTAAAGACCAGGATGCGCATTGGATCTTGAGGCTGACAGACAGGCTCAAACGGCCGCCTCAAGACTTATCAGTGGGCACCTAAAATGCATGACCTTTGAATGCTGCCGCAAAGTCTTCCCAACGTGCACCAAGAGCCATCCGATGCCGGCCTCCCCCGATCATATCCTCGATTGCTTGGTGCTCGCTCTTGCGAATATCCGTGATAGCCTACTTCTGGTGAATTTAATGAAACCAAACATGACTCTCAAATATCACTGCTACCTGGGGATTGCAATGTTTAGAGCTTAAACAGAAACCCCTATTTTTCATTGCAGATTTGGATTTTTCAGAAAAAAATTACTTTCATTTGACTTATAGATTCCTACCCTTTAGTTCAAAATGATATTACAATTGCAAAATAGAGATGACCTGAAAATTTTCATGTCAGATTGGAAAAAAAATTAAAGCAGATTTGTTTCAAATTTAAAAATCTAATGACATCTAAATCAATCTGTTTCCCTAAACTAGGAGCCTTAACACCGAGAAAAAGGTCAAGTTTGGTATCATTGAATGCATTCGCTTCCCACGTTTATTCTTAATCCGATGTATCGAGACATTTGACCATTTCATAAAGAATAATGTTAGCAAAGTGCAATGTTAGCAAACACCCAGTATAATGTTAGCAAATATTTATTAATCCCCCCCCCCTTACAGACTGATGGTTTCCTCAATAATCCTCGATAATAAATAATAAAATTATAATTATATTAATTAAAGTAAGGCACTGCTAATTTTTAATCTACTATTTTTTTTTAAAATTCAAAATTAACACAGTATCCTATTCTAGGCCAGCAGTACTGGTGTTATCGGGAAATGTGTGTACTAGACCACAGCTTGTGGATTTCGCTGCATTCTTCACAAAAGACTTAGGATTGCACATCAGCGCCCATATTTCAAAAGTATGAGTAATGTACATATTTTCCTAATTATTAAAAATTAACGACAAAGTCGTTCTAGAAATGCTTAATTGCATAACATACTACAAAGAAGATACTCGATGACAATATATATACACATACTTAATAGTAATTTATGCAATATTGATGTGTTTTGTTTGACAGGAAACAATCAGTTGGAGAAAGAAACGCTTGCTGAACGATATCAATTCCAAATGGTTACTGGAGAGAAAATTGAAAAGTTTCTATTGTTTGATAGAGTCTGACACTTTTGTCAGTGGCGTAGATAGTCTCATCCAAGTAAGTGTAACATCCACACTTCTTATCTAAAGAGACATAAGTATGATATTAACACGTTGGATGCTAATTTTACATGGCTTGCTCGTCTAGCCAAACGGTAAATAACTACTAAGTAAATTTGCAAATGTTAGACAGATTTTGCTAGTTTTTTGAAAGTTTTAGCATGTCATATCTGAAAAAAGCGAACCCAGAATCATTATTAAAAACCTCCCACTTGAAATATTCATTTGCTGTCCGGAGCAAGTTGGCATCTCTGTGTAAATAAATAAAACAATTTTTGTGAGTTCTATATCGCATGAGTTTCGTCAAACCATTTTAGTAACGATAATAATATAAAAAAATAAAAATTTACTCGAATTACGTGTCTGTAATAATCTTGAAATCACCGGTCACCGGTGACCCCCATGGTGTTAAAGGTCATTTCGTCAGGTCTGCATTGGACGTTTCGATCAAAGGCGCATTTAGAGAGTTTAATTCTTAACATTAATATCCATAAGATATGTTTTCGTACTACTACAACTTTCTATATCCTTTTTCAAAGTAACTCACTCTATTAAAAATTATAACTCCTTAGTTTTTAAACAGGTGCCGCTACAGGTGATTCCATTAAGTAGTGAATAACCTCTAAACCAGGGGTGGCCAAGCTCCATGATAGTCGAACCATTTTTAAAAATTTGAAATTTTTCGTGAGCCACAATTAAATACGAATTCTCTTGATAATTCGTTAAAATTTGTTGAATAATTGGTGTCAGCACTTCTCAGTAATTCTTTCAGATGCTGGCTAGTTAATACTGATCTGTTTTTTTGGATTTCACGAATTTTGAAGTGGAATAAAATGATTCACATAAGTACGTTGTTCCGAATATTGAAACAATTCTACAATCAGCCTTTTTTTAATTCAGGATACTTCGCTTCTGGTACAAATTTCCAAAATTCGGTAGTCGACGTCGACTTATATTTTAATTGTAGAGCTTGATCTTCTTGCATCTCTATTAATTATAATTCTCCAGATGCTTTTTGGATCAGAATTATATTGGAAATGGAAAACTTACCTGGAATTGAACAACGTTGCACTTAGTCTTTCATATTTGTTCTCAGTAATTTAAAAGACATTTTGAAACACATACGGAACGATAAAAAATTTTTAAAATATAATGGCACAAAAATTAAAAGGGAACTCGGGTACATTTATCGAGGGCCACAAATAATTCTTCAAAGAGCCGCATATGGCTCGCGTGCCTCAGGTTGGCCACCTCTGCTTTATACTATACAAGGATACCGATTTTAATGTGTGTCATTCAGAAACTTAGAAGAACATATATTGACGTGCACTCTGTATATGTGTTACTGTGAATGGCCGAAATTGGTGGTTGTGGACTTCCACCTGGGAAAGTTGACAATCACATAGTCGCTTTGGTAAATGTACAAAATATATAGTAGATCTAGTTAAGTAACACTGTCCGGTGTACCCTACAATGATGTTTTTTTAGGGTTCATGGTCACTGGCCGCATATATTTAAATATTAAATAAACATAATAATATCAAGGAATAAATTAATATCGGATGTAGCAAATATTTCAAACATTCACCAAAGCGACTATGTAATTGTTGACATTCACCAGAGAAAGTTAACATTCTCTTGATTTACGGAAGCATATGTATGCAATAGGACCAGAAAACAATATGTTAAATTTAAAGAAAAACTGCAAGCCAATTTTATTTGTATCTGTTCCTCTGAAGTAAAATGACGCAATAGCAAACAACGCTAAATGCCTCCTTTTTTCTCAAATAAACTAAACATAACTAACTTTTTGCGAAATACATGGCTAGCATACATGATACTTGTATTGTACAGCAGTGTATGATTATATTTTCAAAACTACTACAAAGACTATAATAAATGATACATGGAATTAAAGTAAAATTTATCAAGATTTTTTTCTTGCAGCTAGAAATGCTTGATGAGGGACTCCTTCGTTACACGGCAAAAACTAATCTACTTAATCAAGTATAATATACGTCTAATATGTACATAATTACGCATTTCTATACGTGATAAAGTCCGTTCGATATATTTTGTAATGTCAAAGAATCTAAAAATGCTGCATGATCTTATTCAGATCTTTAATTGTTGTAATGTTCATAAGCAGTGTCTTTGGCATTGAAAAGAAATCACAAAAGTAAGATCCAGAGATTTTGGTAGCCATGTTAATTACTTGTAACCCATCCTCCCAAAGTGCAGTTTGCGAAACACCGAGGTGAAAACATTGGCAGTACAGTTATGGACGCAACTGTACATTATAGGAAATATTAACAGTATTGAACAATAAAATGCGCAGAACAAATTTAATTACAAGTTGCAATTTTCTCGAGTAATAAAAGACTTGCACATTAAGCAGTTCTGTCAGAAAAAAAACGTATTACATTGTTCCTTAAATGTTGTTTACTATTTATTGCACTGTGTGTGATAGTTATGGAAATATAAATATTTAAATTACGATCGTTGTTCGGTATTTCATATTTATAATTATACAATAAAAAATATAAATATTTTGAAAATATTTTTTTAATGGCGGTCACTTGGGACGAAGACCCATTGGTCTCAGAAAATGCCAGAACTGCTACTCTCTTCTCGTTACCTAGTGGGCACCTGCGTCGAAGCCACGGCGGTGGAGCAGCGTCGTCCACGTCACACAACCACAAATCCGTTTATAGGGCGGGTCACATTCACAAAATCACACACAAAGGAGAAAGGACATAGAACACAGAGAGAAAGAAACATCCATGCCCTGAGCAGGATTCGAACCCGCGACCATCGGCTCCGCAGTCAGGCACGCTAACCACTCTGCCACCTGGTCGGCATTTCGAAAATATAAATGCATCAATTCTCGTTCGGCTAACCATGTATTATGATTTTTAAATAAATGGAATTAATCTAATATAAAATATTGCATTCAAAATTTATAAAAAAAAAAAAAATTTCGACCGCCTTAAAACCTTCCAGGAGTCATTCAAAATATTTAAAAGTTGTCACAAAATTTGTACATTTTATCCCTAGTTTCTTGTCCAATAAACTTCAATCATTTCCACCATAACAAATTAATTATGTGAATATAAAAAAGGAATGAAAACTTCATATTTATTCAAGTTTAAGAGGCAGCTAAATACATAATATTTTACTTACCTTCATTATTGCTCCAGTGTCTTTTAAGAATTATTGGTGGACCATCAAAAATCCCTCTACTTGGAATATTTTTTGTTAAGATATTTGGTGGTTTTCTGTATTTTTCCCCATAACTTATTTTAACTTATGTTTTTCTACTACTCATTCCAGATTAAAGCCAATAATATATATACTTTATTCTTTAGACGGCAGGCATTGGGAAGATGAAACCGAACATAATATTTATGGGATTCAAGACTGACTGGAACGTCTGCAACATCAAGGATACTTTGGATTATTTCGAAGTCATACAGTGAGAAAAATTCTAAATATTTTTACTGGCCGTCTGTCACGAGAACACCTCCTGACTCACGTGTTGGTGGTTACCGTGGTAACGAACATAAAACCATTTCGAATACCTATCAGAATAATTAATTCCTCCTTATTAGATTTTGATATGGTATCATTCGTGGTACCACAGTAACAGCAGGCTTGACAACTACTACGCTTTTTGTAAAATATTTTTATTGAGTTTTAGACATTTAAAAAGAATTTTTTTGTAATTTTGTCAAAATTTTTTAAGTTTCATCACGAAAGAGCTGGAAGAAAGTGGCTTTGCATACAAACTTTTAAATGTAGTGTTGTGGAAGGTAAGTTTAAATGAATAAAAAAAAATATTACATCAAAATATTAACTTAGCTACCACTAGAATAAACTTTAACAAAGAGCTTAGAAAGTTGGCAGCCCTGTCAGACTTTCAGAAGAACCTCAGACTTTCAGAAGAAGTTCTCATGATAGTTGGAGAGTATTTATTAGCAAATAATATAAGTTGAGTCATAATTAATTTACAGCGTGTTCTGGGACTCCCTCTCGTTGAATCATTGGGCTTAGTATACAGCCTAAACAACCTTAACCATAATTTATGTTAGCATGAATTAGATAGACAATCTAAGTAGGAAATATGAGAATGATGGCATATTTTACATAGGCATTCCATAAAATGGTAAATCTACTTTAAAAAAAAGCCTGATATTGTGGTATGGTTCCAGGGCATCAAGATGAGCTGATGACAGGGTGACAGGAATAGGAAGAATTTTGTCATTTGACAAACATTTAAAATAACATGAAGTATATCACGAAAAGAGAGATAGAGCCTTATTTTTTTCATTGCTTCCTTTTTTGAAAAAAAAAAAATATTGCGAAATTGACGACTAAAAAAAAATTTCTTTTTCTTGTTCACTAATAATTTATTTTACGAAACATGAATTTTACTTTAATCAGCATTTCTGATTTAATAATATCCTATCATAAAAAACAACAGTGCAGTAAAAATCGAGAAATATCAAAGCCTTTTACATCAGAAATACGGGGCATTCATAAGTAGACTATTTAAAAAGTGAAAGAGCTTTACTCATGAAACAAAATTCTATTATAAAAATAGCTGAAATAGATTTATCTTACTTTGATATGGGTGAATTCACAATTGTTTGGTAAAACAAGGAAGCAAAGAAAACCATTCATGATTAATTTATTAAACAAGTTTCAAAAGATATATTTACTACCACTTTCTAATTTTTTTCTAGATTTTCAATCCAACTGCTATTGTGTGAACTAGTTTACCGCATAATGGTCTGATAAGACTACTTTTAAGAAACCCTGTGGAGGCTTTTAGTTACGAGAGACGATCGAAATAACCTTTAAATATACAAAGAAATCAGGGTAAAGAAAACTAGGCAAGAGTAAATTGGAAAATGTAGTTTGTCTCTAAAATAATAACTCCCCCAGACACTCATCATAAGGTATTAAGTACACATAGAGTTTGCCTGTCTTCTTTTCAAAATTCAAGTGTTTCTATCATTGGAAGGCTAATGTAACGCCCCACAAACATGTAAAGATGTTTACACATATGTTGGCATAGATTGTAGTCTTTTTGCGAAGCACATCTTTGCATATTTGATTCATCTCTTTCCCATCAAATTTAAAACTATTGCTCCTCGGTTTTAATATTTGTCAACTAAAAACTCACAACTCAAGAAAAAAATATTTTATTTCATAACAGTCGTTGAACAGTCGACACAATGTTTCGGGTTTACGACAACTAATGTTCAATTCCGGTAGCCTTATAATTTTAAACCCGATCCAGAAGACAAGGAAACTTCTAAATCAAGTATTGGGGGAAATTTGCATCGCATAGAACTTTTCGTTAGAACTAACCTGCATTTGTGTTACATGGTGAGGAAAACCACGAAAACCTCCCACTGTTAGCCTGACGGCAAGGGGACTATAAGTCATGATCCGTCTACCACTGATGATATTTTACGTCAGCACTGCGGTCGGTGCAAGCCAGGTGTGGAATTAGTATTGACCAGCCATTTTGGGATTCGAACCGAGTTCAAATCATTGAAAGGCAAACGCTCTGTTCCTTCAGCCACTACGGTTCAGATATGTAGATTTGAAAGCATGTATTTTAATATTGAAAGTATTTTCAAAAATTTAGGTTTAAATCGATTTCCAGACTGTGCATGAGACATGCCATATCAGTTTGGCAAAGGGACTCTATCAGTGCCATGATCCGTCTACCACTGATAATATTTTATCTCAGAACTGTGGTCGGTACGAGTCGGGTGCGGAATTCGTATCGACCGGCCATCGCTAGGATTCGAACCAGGTTCACATCATTGGAAGGCGAATGCTCTATCTTCTGAGCCATCATGGCTCTCTAGGAAAAATATGGCAGTTTGAAACTTAAATCAAAACTTATTTGCCTGACTTAAATATTCAGTCACCAGTGGGGAGTTATCAAGTAAAAATTTCGTACCCTGGTGTTAGAATAAAGAGAAAACGTACAAAAGACGAAAATTGTAAAGTAAATTATATTTCCAATATACACTGCAGATAAGATTTTTTTTTCTTTCATTATTATTCTTTTCATATTATTATTCTCTTTTTTTCCATTTCTTTTCTTTCATTCTTTTTAATTACTATAAGTATATTATATTTTACTTATTCTAAATTATACATTAATGTCATTTTCCAACACTTGCAATTACAGTACTATTATTTTCTATCCGACAGTGACACAATAGATGCGCACATGTCACTCTGCATTCTGAGAGTGCCTGGTGGCACGAATTTTTCCAAATATTATGAAATGGAGGACGGTGTGCCTTACTTATCGAATCAGAAGAGAGGGAAAGTGAAAAGGAATTCAACGGATTCCATCGATGAAACTGCAGGTAAATCAATAAAGTGAATCCATGCCTAACTAATATTTGAAGAAAAAAAATAAAATCTCAAATAAAAAGACTAGCTCTTTTTTTTAATATTCAAACAAAAATAAACCATCTACAAAATGAATCAATATGTGCAATTAAAAAATTTTATAAAAAAATTTAGTTATTAAAATAATAAAAAATAACTAAAATTATTTTTGGGAGAAATTTCTTATTGGGTAAATGAATTTCCTAAATAGGAGTACAGATTATGGTAGAATTTTTTTATGGGAGTTTTTGATGTACATAAAAAATAATCGATTTTAAAGCATATCGCTTTTACAAGAATAACAATTTCACGTGAAAGAAAATTAATTTATAGTAATCTATCTACTATATTTCAAAGAGTTCGTCAGTAATGTTTTACAGTTATTCCCGATATTTGAAATGTATTTGCATCAGTCTGACTGTAGTTCAATGCATTGATGGTACAGTCCAACTCTAGTTAACACTTAACAAGCCTATTTAACGGATTTTGTCTTTGACGCTTACAGATTGATAGTTTATTATTAGGCATTCGGTTGATTAATAAAAATTTTATAACAGTCGTTGAACAGCCGACCCAATTTTTGGGTTTACTACTACTAATGTTCAACTCGGTAGCCTTGTAATTAACCCAATGCAGAAGACAATGGAACTCCTGGATCAAGTATTGGGAGAAACTTGCATTCGTGGAGGACTTTTTAATGGGACTAACCAGCATTTGCGTTACATGGAGAGGAAGACCACGAGGACCTCCCACGTCAAGGGGACTCTTATCCATGATCAGTCTACCACTGAGAAAATTTCACGTCAGCACTGTGGTTAGTGCAATCTAGATGCGGATTCGAATCTACCAGCCATCGATTGGATTCGAACCCGGTTCACCTCATTGGAAGGCGAACGCTCTACCCTCTGAGCCATCACGGTTCTTATAAATAAATACAATTTATCATTTAGACCGTAAAAATAAAGAATGTATTAAATCTAATTATCCTATAATAAAAGAAAACAGGCGATTTTATCTGAGCACATGAAAAGCACATTCACACGAGAGTCTTAACAGAAACAAAGCAGGTGTGGCGTACTGTTGTACGTATGCTGTTGAGTAGGCAACATCAAAGGCAACAATCTATCTGTAGTTCCAAAATTTGTAACAATCCAAAAGTAGTACTAAGCATCCGTAACAGTCAATCTGTTTTTAGAATTAATTTGAAACATGAACTAAAAAAAATTTCGTATAAATCCATCTTTAATTTGAAGCCTTTGTAACAATGCAATTGTAATTTCATTTCATTGTTCTAGAAAAGAAAGTTTCTCTGGAAACTGTTCAAGAAGAACCGAATGGAACGCCCCCAGCCTATACCGAGATAGCCTTGAACGATGTCCTGGTCAAGATGCCTGAAGAAGGCGAAAACCACGTTGAAAGAAAACTGACCTATGCAGATGTACCACCAGAAATTGAAGAAAGAGCTAACATGTTTCAAAAGAAGCAGAAAGGCTACATCGATGTATGGTGGCTCTATGATGATGGAGGTAATAACAATAACGATTCCAGGGTGCTGCTTTACGTAAATCTGTTTCTACCAATACCAAAAATTGGCGATATTTTTATTTTTTAAGCCACGTATTCCTTTTTCTTTGTAAAGCATCGTAATTGGATACCTGTAAGTAACGCAGTGTGGGTCTCTTGATCCTGATTGGTCGCTGAAACGTGGCTTTGTTTACGTTAGCAACTGTTCTTTCCATTCTATTTCGGGTAACTTAAGCCCGTCAAGGATCAGTTCTTTTAAGTGACGCGTTCTATATTCTTACACAAAGATTCTTTTACAAGGGTTTCAATTCTTTTACAGTATATTTTTTACTTAACACAAAAACTACCATGAAGATACATAAAACGTAAACAAACTAGTTATGCATCGAAGTTGCAAGGTGCATAAAACAAAAATATATCACGATTACAATAAAATACATAAACTAATAATAAATCTAATTCAAGTAAAAGACGTAGACGAGAAAAAAGTTATAGTTCAACGAATTTGATGAGCGATATAATGCTGTATTTAATTAACTTCACGTTCATCAACATTTTTAACTTATATGAAGAAACTTAGCTAGACTTTAACATGCCATTTTGCTTTTAAACGATGAGCTGGCGCTGACGTCATAGGTCATATGTCGGGGTAAGAGTTATCTTCTTCTTTTTGAAGTACAAGTACCCAATTGACAAAATTTTATTAAATTTGCTTTCATGGGAATTAACGTTACAGATATTTAATAGTAATCGGAGGTTCTTCCTGTTTTATTTAACTTAATAGATTTTGTTCTAAAATCAATAAATACTTGAGGATTTCAAAGGTGATTTTATTTTTATATCTTATGTTGTTGCAAATTTTTTGGATTCATGCTTGATTCCGGTTTTAAACAGCTGTGATTTAATATACTTTTAACAACCACTACAATTAAATAGTTTAAATATATATGTAAAGCTAGACCTGGATGTGTGTTTAAACTGATGGTAAAAAGAAAATTAAATATTTGCTAACAATATCACTTCAATAGTTATTTTGAGAAGCAAGAAAGTTGGCAGGTATAGTTTGTCGAAAGTAAGAACTCCTCTAGTCATTCGTCTGGACCCATGGCGGTGACTATGGTAACGAGGTATAACTATTTCAATTAGGGGTGTGGGGTCATTGTTTTAGACAGACAAGTCGGCGAGAGAACGATAATCTTTTTCTTCGGTCTATTGTGTTAGCCCTATCCTCCCTGAAATGCGCTATTCTTGTTTCCATAGCAGCAGACGGCCTCAGACTTTATGGCGGGGGAGTTCTTACCGTAGACAAACTATAATTTGTCGAAAAGCTTCATTAGTTTTATATTAGCTTGAAAATATGGGTTTGATGATTATTTTCTATTAATTTTTTTAGGTATGACTATGTTACTTCCATACATTCTGAAGACGAGATCCCAATTTAAAGAAAGTAAACTCCGTGTGTTCTCTGTTGCTCAGGATGATTCAGCCATAAGTGATGAGCAGCTCAAGTAAATTATTCTTTTCAGATTACATTATATATTGCTTCTGTTACAGTTTATAGCAAATATGAATGAATATCGGAATTCACCGAAGAATGTCAGCATGCGCATTGTCGCATTCAGTTAATTTTTAAAATACAGGGTAATTCAAAATGAATATGGCGATTACAAACAACTATAACTATTTAATGAAAAATGATTTATAGATAAGATTAACATAGAATGTAGTTGGAAATCCGAAATTTCCTTACATAAGGCGCAGTAAAGCGGAATCCTGCGCATGGGCGATATCATTAGTGAAAATGGCGAGTCCTGTGCAGGAAGCATTCTGCGTGTTAGAATTTAACATTTCTATCACGAATTGTGCTATCACGGTGCAAAGAAGATTTCGCCAGCATTACAATCAAGAACCTCCAAATGAGAACAACATGCGAAAATGTTAAAGGATGTTTGAAGAAACGGAATGTTTGTACAAAGGGAAAAGTAACAATTGAAGAACTAAAAGAACGCATGTGCTTGCGCGGTGACTACACAAGCACTTCAGAATGTACGGCGCGAAATGGATCTTCCGCCTAGGTGTTATCCGTGTGAACAAGGGAAGTCACATAGAAAATCTGTGACGCATGTATACAAAATTGCATACATGCGTTTTGTATTTTGTATACACGCTTGTCGTTGTTGCGACGCATGTATTAAAAAAAAGTTCCTTCAACATTCTGTGTAAATTTTATCGATAAATTATTTTTCATTAACTAGTTATAGCCGTTTGTAATAGCTGTATTCATATTGAATATTACCCTGTATTTGTTAGTAATTAATTCTTAACATTACCCAGGTATTGAGCTGATTAAAATTAAGATCTTTGTTGGAATAACAGCAATGTTTCTGTACACTAAATGTTAACACAATACTATATATTTATTTTTCGCTATCTGAAAAATCAAGTCAATACAATCAGCACATTAATTAATAGAACCAATCATCAATGACTTTGAAAACTATAATACAAGAAACCAAACAGTTCAATTACACTAAATAAATTGTAATGTCATTTATTTATTTTTCGATGTATAGAGAATCAAGTTATTTGCTTCATTCCTACATAGTATACCCTATCATTATTTAGAAATATTTTTATATTTAATCCTTAATTGCTAAATTTTGTTTAGCTTTAGGTATATAGTGACCATTAATTATATTTTTTTCTATTTCATCAAATGTCATGGAATATCTTTTTTTGCTAAATTGTACAAAGTCTCTCTCTCTCTCTCTAATGTTTTCATAACATTCGAATTGACGTTTTTGTTAAAAATAGTTATTTCTTTCTCTAAATAGGGCAACGAAATGCGGAACGTGTGCCAATGTAATTCAAAAAGGGATTAAAACGTCACGCAATTCAACAGACCAATTTCCATGCATATCACGTGCCATTTCTCACACAAGGAAACAAACTTAATAACTAAACAAAACCTTTTCCTTAAAAATTTTCCAGAAAATAAAATTTAATTTTACAAAAATGTTACTTTAAAAATGTTTAAAGTTAAAAATGGTATGTTGTAAAAATGAATTCTGAGTTTTATTTTCATAAAAATGTAGCGTACAGGAATGTTCAAGCAGTTGTTCTTCAGTATTAGCAAAATTTATACTCTAATATTTGATTCGTAGTTTAAATCTGAATTGAAATAATGTAGAATACCGTTCTATATTGTAATTCAAAACCTTATAATGAAGACTTGATAACGATACAGCGATGAGTTTTGTGCCATAAGAGTTAGCATACAATTTTATCTGAATAAGCTCAGCTGCAGTGACAAAAATGTCTAAGCCAGGGCTGAAAGTTCATATACATCAACACGTAAAAGAGAATATCCATAATTACCTAATTTTTTTAATAGATACAATTTATGTATTGAATTGCTTCTTCTCCGAGAAAAAAATTAATGGCTGTCAATTTTTTATTGTTAAGGATAGATTTAGTCCTTCCTAAAACTATCTGTTATTGAAATAGTTCTACTACCAATATTTTCTCTTTTCCGTCTCGCTTTCAGGCCTGACTTAAGCTAACAGTCATTGAAATAGCTGAATTCTAATAGTATTTAATACGTAGGGAACCGATTATCCGGAACGATCGGGACCATCGCTATTCCGGATAACTGATTTTTCCGGTTTTCTGAATCACTACAAAAAGCCGTTTTTTTATTGTTAAACCCAACTAAAAAAAAAATTTTGGAAATAATCTTAAAAAGAAGAAAAAACTATGAAGTAATACGCTAATGATTATTTCCAAAATGATGGTAAGGTAAACATCTTTCAAAAAAGAAAAAAAAATCCTAAAATCTTATGAGGAAAAAAATACTTTTTTAAGAAATTGGCGGGAAAATTTATCGAATTTCGTTCCGGTTTTTTGGTTTTCCGGTTTTCTGATTTCCGGATAACGGGATCTGTAGTATTAATGAAATATAAAAAGTACTAATTGAGTGGTATAATGCTTCTCATAAATTTGAATTTGATAAATACTATATATACATATACTACCGGTGACAAAAATTTTTGCGATCTTTATTCCAATCTGCCGACCGACCTGTGTAGGGGTTAGGGAACTGCCCTTGCATCAGAAAGGTTCTGGGTTCGAATCCCGGGCAGGGCATGGAGGTTCTTTCCTTCTCTGTACTATCTGTCCTTACTGTGGGAGCAACGTTGACCCACCTAATATGGTGCCCCTGAAAGAGAGGTCAACAAAATTGCCCTGTAAATGCCTGAATTGACGAAATGTTAACACAGGTGGGCAATGGAAGAAAAAAAATTCCAATCTCGATAATTTTCGAGAATTTTTGAGAATTCGAGAATTTTTTATTGTATAATTTTTCTAACTAATCAACTATATAAATAAGCATCAGTTTATAAAGAGAAATAGTAATTATTAGAATAACTAAAAGAGAGTTTTGTTTGAGATTCTTGTCAACGGTAAACAATATGTATAATCGGCCAGTTCTACAAACTACTCATCCATTCAATTGATCAGTTACCAGCATATTTATAAAAATGTATGCAAAACCATAATTTCGTGTTTTATTTTTTTTTTTCAGTTTGGCAGCCCTTTTGCAAAAATTTCGAATACCTTTCACAGACTTGACGTTACTGCCAGCAGTTGGAGAACCTCTAAATAAAGAAAGGTGATTCTAAAATTTTATTTGTTCAATTATTTATTCCTAGAGTAACGTCAAGACAATGATTTTTGAAATAAATAGTTACATTTAACTAATGACCATAATGAATACAACTTCATTCCTTTTTACTTGTTATTAATTACTCTTTTTTCTACTTCATTCATATGTCACAAATCAAGTTAAAGCGGTTGAATAATTTGTCATACTAAAGTGACCAGCATCCTCAAAAAACTGGTAGCAAAATTTCTTAAGGAACGTTCTAAAATTTACTTCCTTGCCTTTTCAAAAAATATTTATGTTAGAGAATCTCAGCGAGAGATCTCTGTTTTGAGAATATTAATTAAGAAAGAAAAAGCAGTTCGTTTTCATAATTTCAAACTTATATTTTAATTTTAGTTGACTGATTACTGAAATACGCATTTCGTAACACGAATGACACTATCAACGTCTTCTTCAGAAATCCCGCTATTAATTAAATGATCTTTTCGTTCTTCTTGATTCAAAATATTGATAGACATGTTCGCAAGAAAAAATTGAACTTAAAATAGAAGCGAGGACATAACTTATTTAGACCGTAGAACATAACAATTTTATTTGAATTAATTATCGTTTGCTTTTTAAAATAAAATTATACAAATTCCAGCTTATAACTCGCACACAATTAAATAGTAAATATGTAACACTCATCCAAATCATGCTTGAGAGAAAATAACTCAAGTATCTCTTAAGTATCTACCACTCAAGTTCGATTTAACACAAAGCAAGTATATCACTCAAACATAGGTGTATTCAACTCAAATTGAGTAAAAAATTTCATTCTTTTTTGAGTAGAGGAATTCACTCATTTATTTTAAGAGAGTAGGTTGCTCCTTCGCACTGCTTTCTTCACGTGCACTCATTCCGCTTTGATTTACATTGGGAATTTAAAGAATTAAAACTCGATCGTTATGAACATTTTCTTGATAAGTAGATTAACAATAGAAAATTAAAGAATCAAAATTTGATCTTACTGAACTGGTTTTTGATAAGTAGATTAACAATAGGAAATTAAGGGATCAAAATGTGATTTTTCTGAACTGGTCTTTGATAAGTGGTTCAACACAACACCTGCTATAAGAGAAAAGATCTTCGCCCAGGTTGCCATTAACCAGAAATCGGATCCGTTCGTTATTCGAAAGTTGTGATAGATTTCTTTTTTTCCGAAACTCAGCAATTTATGTTTATTTCTTCTGACTACTAAAGTGACCCATACGAAGGGCTTTCTCTCTTCAAAATGTTGGTTAACCTCGTAGATCAACGATGAGAAATTAAAGCATCAAAAAACGATCTTTGTGAGTAGGTCCTTAACAAGGAGATCAACCACTTCAGATTACAATGGGAAATTAAAAGATCTTGTAAAGACCACAAAGATTAAGTCTTGATCTTTGTAAACTGGTTTTCGACCCGTAGGTTAACCGCGTATATTAACTAAGGGAAATTAAAGCATCCAAGCTTAGTAAATGTGCCTTTAAAATGCAGCCCGTTAGTTAATAAGCTAACTTAAAGTCAAATTAGGTGATGCTTGTACGTGTGTTACATACAAAAACGAATAACATGTATATTATTTTAATTTATGTATTAATTCAATTTTAGCACAAAAGCATTTGAGACGATGGTATCGAAATTCCTATCAAAAGACGAATTTCAGAAGGATCCAGCTGTCATCACCCGAAGCATGATCAATACACTTAAGAAAAAAGTAATAAAAGTGTCTCATTCATTTAAAATATGCAACATTTTAAAGTTTAAAAATGTTGCAAAATCTTTCCTAAAATTATTTTGAAAAATTTGAAATTATTCATTCTACAAAAAATGTTCTTTCTAAACATGTGGATTGTGGTTTTAATCAAAGATGACAGAACAAAAATAGTAGGGGAGAGTGGGGTCAATTGTAACATTTTTTGCTTAACTATTTTTAACTAACAAAAAATCCAATATATTATTAGTATTAATTGACAGACGAGTAAAGTAGACTATCCTCTACTAGAAAAAAAAATACCTTATTTTAAATGTTATTATATTAGTGATTAACAATTTTTGACAGTCGCGCACTTGTTACAATTGTCCCCACTTACGGGGTCAATTGTAACAGTTCATAAATTCAACTAAAACATAGTTAATTATACATATTATCATAGTTGTGATATATTTTTTTATTGATCAAAATAGTAGTGATATTTTAGGAGTAAAAATAATAATGAGCAGAGACCTAAAGGGTTAAACTTTTAACTTTAAGGGGTTAAAAATTTTAATTTATGCTGTGAAAGGTGACAAATAAAATAATGCACATGCAACATAATATAAATGATATAGGAAACTATTGGTGGTTCTTAAAGAGTTAAGTAATGGTTTGTAAACATAAGATTATTTATTTTCAGCTGTTACAATCGTCCCTTTACTTATTGTTACAATTGTCCCCAAGACGCCATTTCAGCTTCATTTGTTAAAAACAATGCTAGTTAATTAGCAAAACTAAATTTTTTTTTATTGAAATGTTAATTAAGGTGTCCACTTACATATTCGGTTAATAATTTTTATTTGTTTAAACAAAATTACTATGTTACAATATAATATTCTAACACCAAAAAAAGTACTTACGTAGCGTGAAAATATCTTTTGTGATATAACTCTTTCAAAATTACATAAAAATGGTTGCCAGCAGGGGTGTACATGTAGATTTATTAAATACACCTTGTGCGCCACGTCGGAACCGAATCTAGAACCCGACACTCGAAATTTTTGCTCTGTTACAATCGTACCCTGTTACAATTGACCCCACTCTCCCCTACTGTAAAATTTATATGAAGTTCTAAATGGAATTCGTTAGAGGACTCTCTATTCCTAATGGCGGGCTTAAGTACATGGTTAGCAGGGGCAAACTTTGAATAAATTGCCCGTAAGTAGTATTAATTGCCTGGTAGTAATAATTACTAAGTAGTATTAATTGCCTGGAGTAATAATTAGTAAGTAGTAGAAATTGTCCCTGAGGACTGCAATTAATGGAGGGGAAAAAGTCAATTTAATTTCAAAATAAGGTAAAAATTTAAAACATTTGTATATTAATATCATACATTTATATTATACGATTATTCCTTATATATTTATACATTTATGCATCATATATTTATACATTTATATCATACATTTATGCATATACATTTATATCAAAATCCTTATCTTATACTTATTTTTATGTAAATATCATCCGCAATTATTTTAGGGTTTAAAATTTTTCATATCCGATAAAATATTTGTAAATTTTTCTTATATGTAAAGAATATCTAAATTTTACAAATCTGAATTTTTCATTATTAAATTTGTTTAAATGAATCATAAAATATTTGCTTGAGCCAATTTTTTATCTCTTATAAAAGGTAATTTAAAAGATTTAAAATTGCTTTTTCCTTAAAAAGTAATAATCTTGTCGAATGGACTAGATTGGATGGCTGGGGTTGTTGTCCCTAATACACCCCACTGTTTCGTCTCGATCGAGTTCAACTACCGATGGGTGAATGGAAATTCTGAATATGCTTTTAATTCCCCTTGTTTCAATTCTCGAATAAACTTATGCTGAGTAGTTTCTTTACTCCTCAACAATGTTAAATAGTATCTTTCAAAAAATGCAAAGAAAATTAATCACCCTACCCTCTTTAGGACTTACGGCAAGGACACTACAGTCCTCTCATGAGGACAAAAGGCACACATGCTCAGCCAACCGACCAGATCGGCTAGGCATCACCCGTGACGTTTATTTAATTCTAAAAATTACAAATTCAAGATGGCAACAGTAACATATATCAGAACAAAATTCTCAATTATATCAGAACAAAAAGAAGTACAAGTGCTCCTGAGCCGTTCATCTTATAGTGCAAGTGCCGATGAGACGGTTCCTTATAGGGAGCAATATACAATTCTTGATCCTGATCACGTTATCAAACGATAGCAAAGCATCCCATATATCATTTAAACTAGACGAAAAAATCATAGAAAATTCACGCATAAAACTAAGGTAGACTTAATAAAATCATAAAAGTAAATCAATATACAACAAGCAAAAGGACTATTAAAATTTAAAGTGACAGAAGAAACATTGGAATTTTGAAAACATGTAAAATGAACTTCGAAATATGGGATAATACAGTTGGGGTTATTCTAAAATTCCAATTAGTTTTACCTATATAAAACCAATATACCAGCACAATTTTACTAGAATATTTATTCAGAAAAAATAATGTTTAACTGATCGTAATGATGAATGCCTGACAGGTACCACATAGACTGCTAACCTCGATGAACTCATACAATGACAAATACTACATGATGAATGAGATAGAGGGCGCTTCGCTGCCCAGGCACCCAGAACGAAATACTAGTCAATTCAGGAATACAATATATACTTTTAGACTTGTAAAATCCTTTGACCAAAAAATAACTACGAATTTAACATTTCAAATTCACTTTCTGAGACTTTTTTTTTTTAAGTATAAAAGCAAATTTTTTGTTACAAGAATTGAAGTAAAGTCGCATTGAATGCCAGGTCACTCTCAGGCAAAACGCAGAATATAAATAACAAATTCAGAGCCTGGTGGGAGTAATAAAATCATTTACCATTCGTAGGAAATAAAATCTGAATTTTATACTTCGCTAGTTTGTCAAACGATCGAATGCTTTGTCAAAGCCCTTTAATATAATATAATATAATATATTTAAAATATGTAATGTATCAACATGTAATGTACATGGAATGTATATGAGGACGGTTTATGCTTAGGAAAAGAGAAAAAACTAATAGTAAAACAATATCATTTCTAATTTGTTGTCTTAAGGAAAAAATGTACGTGATTACCGAAATTAGAGAGTTTGTTTTCCTTAATAGAAATCAATCTTGTATAGATGGTGTAACTTTTAATACGTTAAGTTAGCCAAGGTTCTACATTTCTCCCAAAACAAACACCTAATATTAAATGATATTCCTACCAGATTTTTCTCTTTTCTGGGGCACAAACAGTCCTTTAATATAATGTTGATCTGAAAATTTTTTTCACTTGTATAATGAAAAAATAATTATTTTTCAGACAAACCAATTTTTAAGGTTACGAGAACTGCTAGAAAAACATTCCAAGAACTCTGACTTAATCATTATGTAAGTAAGAAAGTGGATTCTTATTATTTCATTGATCATTTTTATTATTTATTCATAAAAATGTCAGAGGGTGTCGATTTTAGCCAAAAACAAAAACAGTTTTTGTTATTAGAAAGGAAATATTTCGTTCTCGATTTTCCAAGTCTGAAACTGAAAACTGTATGCTGCTTTTGTCTCGAAGAGATGCAGAAATACAAATCTCGCCTGATAACAAAGAAATCAAATAAGCTACGTCCTCAAGGACCAAACAGTATTTTTAAATAAAAAGTGGTAGCTTGTATTTAGATTGATGGTAGATCTAATTTAATGTTTGAATATTAGTGAACATTTGCTTTTAAAATGGCTAGTTCCTTTTTCTCAATGCCCTTTAACACGTTGCTGCAGAGTGTCTACCATCACAAACAAAATTCTTTTTCAGTAGATCTGTTAATTACTTCCTTTTAGAAACTAATTCCTATTCCTCAATATCAGATTCGTTAAAAAAACGCTCATCTTAATAATTATCTAAAAAATGCTTAAAATAATTGAATTTGGAATAAAGATCGATAGATACACTGGTCCTGCACATTTTAATTATTAGGAAATTCAGTAATAACATTCAAATTAGCTAATAAAATACTAAAATGCAATAATAAATGAAAAAAAGACGTAGCATTCCAGATAACATATATATTGTTTTTTTATTTATTTTGTTTCTTCTGGAAGAGAAAAAAAATTTGCAAAGAGCAATTAACGTTTACAGCCATCTAGAGTTTTCATGGTAAAAATTATCAAAATGTGATAATTTTCACTGCCAATTATATAAGTGATGTCCGATTTCATATAACAATCATAAACAATTGGAAAAAGAAAATATGTTTCTGAACATGATCGTCAAATAAAAAGAGCGCGGCAACGGGTTAAGATATTATTAGTTTGGTATTATTAGTTAGTTAGATAAGATATTATTAGTGATAGTCAAGTGTATACCATATCGCTTAGTATACAAATATGAAGCATTTTTATCATCATACTATTTAAAAAAGCATTATTATAAAAGTATAATTTTAGGACAACTCTACATTATGAACAATATTATTACCAAATCAATTCCCAATTTTAAGTATTTCAGAAATGTAAAAATGACTTTATGAAAAAAGAGGTAATACATTAATAAGATAGATATTTTATTCTGTTTTGTATTTCTTATTCCATTACACGCCAAAACTCCCATTACGGGAACCACCATAATACACTCCTCAAAAGTGAAATTGCAACACCAAGAAATAATGCATATTTCTTGGTGTTGCAATTTCACTTTTGAGGAGTATACTGAACTCTTATATATATACATTCAGTACATACTATTCAGTACATCTAATATATATACATTCAGTATACTTGAGGAGGATACTGAATGCATATATATTACTTGTTGTTGGAATGTTATTTCTTGGTGTTGCAATTTCACTTTTGAGGAGTGTATATTAGTTATTTAAATATTGTAATAAATTTCAAAAGTTTATAAGATTTTAAAATTTTCCTATTCGTTAAATTTTTAAAAGAAAACTGCAGTATTTTCCTAACTACAGATCCTAATTAACCAAATTTATATTTTTAACATATAACAGTGATATTATCATTTTATACACCGTTTTTTACTTTATTTTTGGTTAAGATTTTGTGTAGTGATTGTGGAGTATAATAAATGAGTTTACAATTGTAAGTCAGAACAATACAAAAACCTACAACGTTTAACCATACAAAATACCTAATATTTTTAAAGAATATTTTCAGGACTTCTCTAGATTTATTTAGTTAATTTATATGTAGCGATGGCAAAAGACATTATAAAACAAAAAAATATTATTCGAATGAAAGCAGAGAATTTTCGAATGAATGACGAAATTATGTGCACTGTTTTTCATACAGATAACAAGTACTTTTCAACCACGCCCTCTTCACCATATTTTACTGTTATTGGTCGGCTGTCAAGAACGCTAATTTAAATAAATCAGTTGTTCCTTATCAATTTTAAAGCGGCGCATCTACTCGATACAAAATAATGAGTAGTACCACATTTTTTCATACTTGACCCTTTTTTGTGAGTTCTCCGAGCACTCTTGCCGATCCGTTATGAATGGCATGGAGGTAGCGGGTTCGAATCCCGACGTAACCCTATATGCAACTTACTTTTGTGACGCGCTTCTTTATTTTGTGCTATATGTTCTTCAACTTGACAAGAGCTTTTAAACCCACTTTTTAACCCCCTAACGATCGGTTAATTTTCAAGAAAACGGTCATAAAAGTGCCTATTTTGCCAAATACACATTTTTGATTAGTGCTGACATCTAATTTAAAATAAACCAACTATCTACAATTATCTTAAAAATATCTTGGTACTGTCATTTGGTGTGTAAAATTAGAAATAAAATGCTTTTCTGGAAAAAGAAATGAATTAGTTTTATTCTTATTGGCGCGTTCCTACTGAACACTCCAGCCCGGAAATTTCCCGGGAGCGAGAAATAGAGGGCGAAACCTCACTCCGTCGTTTTCACGGGAGCGAGAAGGAAGGGGTTAATGACCACATATGCTTACAAATATACATTTGTAACAATAATAATAATATTAACGATTTTAGCGGGTGAGTATTAACTCGTTGATGTATTCCATATGATTTAAGGACGTTAAACAAAGTCGCTCTCTTTTTCAGGACTGCCCCATTGCCAAGAAAAGAAGTTATTTCGGCACCCCTCTACATGGCGTGGTTGGACACCCTGACCAGAGATCTTCCACCCTTCCTGTTGGTCAGAGGAAATCAAACATCCGTTCTCACTTTCTACTCGTAAAGACCACCATGAAAAATGGTGCCCTTTTGTAATTCCTGTCTAGGTTAGAGAAAGTTGCCTATTTAAACCATGCCTGGACATTGTTACTTTTATCTATTAAATGTATTAGAGAGATCACTATTTATATGATAAAGCCAGTTTGTTGTAAGCTCAGATAAATAGCAGCGGAAATTTTTATATACTTACTTGTCTCAATGTTTGAAAGATTTTTAAATTCATGATTACTCTGTACATAGTTTTTAAAATAAAAACCTTCTTATTAGTGGTTGTGGTAGTAATTCATTTACGTCGCACTTGAGCTGCACAAAGGGCTATTGGCGACGGTCTGGGAAACATCCTTGAGGATGATCCGAAGACATGCCATCACAATTTTGATCCTCTGCAGAGGGGATCTCAAATATTAGGAGTTTTAGCAAAACATTTTTTCTTATGGTAGGTTGGTAAGGAATTTCAAAAACATTTATTCATTTAAATACTTCATAATTACCATTGTTTTTTTTTAGATTCCGCAAAAAAAATTTATACTTAATGATGTAGCAAAATTTTCTTTATTTTCATTAAATAAATGTAATTTAAACTGATTTTGGTTACCGTTATCTATACATCTATACATAATAATAAACGCGGCTGTGTGTGTGTGTGTGTGTGTCTGTAATCACAATATATCGCCCCAGAAGCCTCGCCCGGGCACGAAACTCGGCCCATAATTGTGTTTTGACATAATGAAGAAGTATTTTTTTTCTTTTTCAAAAATTTTGATTAGTTATTTAGTTATCAGTCATTTTGTAAGTCTATGCTTTTCGTCTGCTTTTTCGTCTTCAAAGAGCCATATTCAAAAAACTATTAAAAAATGCATATACTTTTCCCCACTCTTATAAATGTATGCTAATGCGAACCTTTACAATTGAAATATTAATTTTCGACAACTTAAACCAATAATATACGAAGGAATTAATAATTTATTTGTAAAGTTCGCATTAGTTTACATTTATTAAAGTGGAGAAAAGTTTAACTTTTGTTTAAAAAATGTGGCAACATATTCGATACGTAAATAGAACGCTTCGCTTTGATATATTTGTCGCTGCTAATTATTAATTTAAAAAG